TACAAACCCCACAAACCCCACACATTCTGGCCTCTTTTGGAGACCTTTTCAATGATTCACTCAGAAGGAGCCAAGAACCTATGGCAGCAAGTTTAAGAAACAAAATAAAGTTACAGAGGACAGTTTATTATCTCTTTTTTGTGATTTAAATTTTCTACTTGGAAAACGGACATAATTTCTGCTTTTCATTGGAGTTGACTGATTTTCACTAAATTTAGGAGACAGTACTTTTTCTTTCTTTATAAGGCAGTCTGACATCTTGAAAACCAAACAGGGTGGTCAAAAGTTTTAAATGAACCAATGGTCTGTGACTGCTTCATGAAGCATTAAGTGGGACTGTATAAAACATTAATATTGGGCACCTGGGTGGCTCAGTCGTTAAGCTTCTGCCTTCGGCTCACATCATGATCCCAGGGTCCCAGGACTAAGCCCTGCATCAGGTTCCCTGCTCAGTAGGGAGTCTGCTTCTCCCTCTCCCTCTGCTCCCAACTCCTGCTCTCTCTCTCAAATAAATAATTAAATCTAAAAAAAAAACCCAAAAATGAAACAACAAAGAAAACCACAACCAAAACAAACAAACAATAAAAACAACAGTATTAACAAAAGTAAAAATTCTATTTTCTCTATCAAGTGATTCAAAACAACAATGAACTTGAAACATATTCCTGTTTGGCATTGTGGCATATTATATATGCAGGCAGGCAGCCGAGCTTAGAAATGGAAATAAAGCCTGGACTCTGAAGTCAGTTCAGACCACTGAACCTGACCCCCCACAGGCCTGGCTAAGATACTTAATGTACTACACCCCACCATAGTTTATGTTTCCCCATCTGTAAAATGGGGAGAGTAACAGTATCTACCTCAGAGGGTTGTTGTAAGGGTAAATTAAAAAGTGGCCCATGGGGTGTCTGGGTAGCTCAGTTGGTTAAGTTGCCTGACTCTTGATCTCAGCTCAGGTCTTGATCTCAGGATTGTGAGTTCAAGCCCCGTGTTGGGCTCCATGCTGGGCCTGGAGCCTACTTTAAAAAAAAAAAAAAAAAAAGTGACCTGCTATAAACTGAAGAACCTGCTGTCAGCGAGCAGCCATGTTCTTGTACTGCTTCAGCAAATGACTACAATCTGTTTGCATTCTCCAAATCAGGTAAGGCAGAGTTTAGGAAGAGATAGCCCCACAGATGTCGCCCTGGGATTATCTGCTAAGAAAAATGCACACGCATATCATCTAGATCATTCTCATGATTACTCCTGGAATATGCTGACTCAGAGAAGGACTTGCTATGCTATTAGAACCTCTCATTTTTCAGGAACCTAATACCTGCATCTCAGATTCTGTATTTCTATTCCTTAATCCTTACAAATGAGGTCAGCAATCAAGGAAATTTGACATAAGATAGGGAAGCAAGGTTAACTAAATAGGTTGAAGTTTCAGGTGAGGCAAGGTACTGTTTATGTGACCAGAGGAAAAAAAAAACAGTTAATATAGGTTTTCTGTTGGGAGGGAACTGTCAGGAGGGTTTAAGAGAGAAAACCAGGATGTAGATTGGGTTTAATGTCCTAACAAGACCAGTTCAGAAAACAAGAGTCGGAGAGGCCAAGTAACTTGCATCTGGACAGAACGTGGGGGTGCTTAAAGTGGCGATCCAGGTGCTTCTCACCCAGAGTTCAATGAGCCAGGCATCACCCCACGATTTGCAAGGTGGTCAAGAGTGGTTTGTGTATCCGACCTTTAGAAACTTAAGATGCTGGGCGCCTGGGTGGCTCAGTTGGTTAAGCGACTGCCTTCGGCTCAGGTCATGATCCTGGAGACCCGGGATCGAGTCCCACATCGGGCTCCCTGCTCAGCAGGGAGTCTGCTTCTCCCTCTGACCCTCTTCCCTCTTGTGCTATCTCTCATTCTCTATCTCTCAAATAAAACTAAATAAAATCTTAAAAAAAAAAAAGACTTAAAAAAAAAAAAGAAACTTAAGATGCTTTTATCAGGAATGCTTCTTCCAGGACTTTCATGAGTATTGTCATAATATCATTTGTCTGACTATTCACTGAATATTCACTGACTATTCACTGCTTTTCTCAAGAATGCTTCTTCCAGGACTTTCATGAGTATTGTCATAATATCATTTGACTATTCACTGAATAAATATTCACTGAGTGCCTACTACGTGCCACACATTGTCGTAGATGCTAAAATACTAGAGTTCTGCAAATATCAAGCAGAAATTACCAATACATAATGCAGTGTTTACCACATAATAAAATGACAGGACAAATTAAAGACTGAAGTTAAATTCTGAAGTTTTTAGTATGTGTGGGTAAGGCATGTGCTTAAATGCTTACTGGAATAAGCAATCCAAAGGCACCGAGCGTGGGGTCGAAGCTCTGCAAAGCACACCTCCACTACTGCTATTTATTTAATGAATACTCCTGGGGACTCTTTAAATTGAAAGATGGTTCATTAGATTTGTGCATCTGCCCTTCTCGGCAATCTGTTGTGTTTCTGATGAAGGCAGGAAAAAAACATGAACATATCATTTTCGGGTCTAACTCAGCTTTCAATGATTACAAAGTCGTAAAGAGCTCAGGATACCCACTTTCAGGAAAACAATTTCTCCGATTGATTCTCTTTCCATTGCTATTAAGTTATCTTTATACTCGTCTTGGAAATTTCAAGGACTACCCCTTTAAAAAAAAACAAAAACAAAAACGAATCACCTAATACATTATCTGCAAGCTATTAAAAATAAGTGTATTTTTAAGATATTAAAAGTCCCTTCAAAACTGGCTCAAAAATCACCTTCTTCTGTAATTTTTTCCCTTTTGTTCCAATCAAGGTAATCACTACCTCCCTGGGCTCGCATCCCACGGTATGCATCTAGCTCTTGCAATCTGCCCCAGGGGCTGGTTAGCTGTGTCGTGTGTGTGTGTGTGTGTGTGTGTGTGTGTCGTGTGTGTGTGTGTGTGTGTGTGTGTAAATATAAACTCTTGGAAAACAAAGAAACACTTTTTTTTTTTTATATCTTTGTCCCTGTCTGAGTACCTGCTACATAAGAGATGCAAAATAAAAGTTGTGGACTGAACAGATGAAAGACAGGTTCCCCTCTACAGGACCTTAAACTCTGGACCCACTCGCTGGGTACTCTCAGCAAACATTTATTCAAGGCCTCCTGTGAAGGACACGTGAGTGGAGCCTGGGACACAAACATGAACACGAAAACGTCCCCGCCCTCAGAGGACTTTCCTTGCGCGAGGAGGCAGATGCTCCTCGCCGTCATGTGCTCGTCAGAGGCCAAGCGTGACAGTGCTAGAGAGATGCTCTCTCAAGGGAGAAAATGTTTGCAGACAGGGCCGTGGGAGAAACAGCCATATTCTTGAGAGGAGTTTCTGAAAGGTCTTTTCACCTCACTTGTGAAGAAAGTTGATAAACAAAAAAGAACTTTTAACGTTATATTTAGTGGATTCTTTTCTGAAATCACAGTCGTGAGCAAAGAAATGGCCAAGGAACTTGGGTTCTCTTCATTTGCTACCTCCAAGGGCTGCCTCCATTCACCTGGTGGAAGGCCAGACGAAGACATCTAGCGGACATCTTTGAGGCTCTTTCTGGCAGTTATAAAATGCAGGACTGGAATTTAGTATTTGGAATTGAGTCTGGAATTTATTTCCCGTGGGCTGGAAATTCATCAGACAGTGGGCAGGATGGGTAGGACTAAGCCTCAGTCGGCTTAAACCAACCTCCGGAAAACGCCTGAGTCGTAAGAGGCTTCAGGTTAAAAAGGTGTTCAGTCCGAGATGCGAACTGACTCGCCTGGTCGAAGATTTGGCGTTAAGCCACTGCTGGTGAGCCGGGCTGTGCTGAGGAACAGCGAGAGGGTGACACAGTCCTAGCCTGCAAGGGGCTGAACAAGTCACACGAAGAAATGACTAAAATCCAGCCTCGTAAGCATCAGAGAGTTATGGCTAAGCTACGGATGCAGCCCACAGGAGGCAGTGGGTGGTGGTCACCCCTGCCTAAAGTATGAAAACCTATCAGGGCCTGCCCAGTCGTCACTGGTAGGAAAAGAGGAGTTCTCATGTGAGACTCCCTGGAGAGTTTTCACATTAGCTGACTCATAAAGAGAGAATCATTCATTCAACAAACATGCACTTGCCTACCTTGTACCAGAAACGGCCGCGCTGCTATGACTGAAGTATATACATATGAACATTCTAACACCCTGTCTACTTACTACTGGTCAATTAAAATGCAGAAATCCAGAGTTTGCACAGACTCCGCTGCTCCAGAAGGTCCGTGTGGCATATACCCAGTCCCCGGAACACGCAGTAGCAAAGCTTTCTACTTCCTCCCTCACAGACAAGCTGAAGACAACGGTGACAAAACCCTACCCTCACCGGTGCCGCATCCCTTTAATGCTGCCCCAACAAACGGCAAAGCCGGCGAGTAGCTCTGAAAAGAAGGGAAAATCCCTAAGCAGGTCTCAGTGGTGTCAGATTCTCTAATGGCCCCTTAAGATGCATGCTCAAGCCTCAAAGGACCAATACTTCCAGTCAGAGTTTTCAACATTTCATGCGGAATAAATGTTTTTCTTCTACAGTTGGAGAAACAGCTCGCTGGCTTTTGAGAGCCGAACTTCCTGCCAGACCCAGTCATGGTTCAATACTGCTGGACATCCAGAAACCCTACACATTGATTTTCTTTTGTCCTGCAGACACATGGGAAAACATTCATCCATAACATCTGGATGGTCTTCAAGGAGCCTCCACGGCTGCTGTGAGCAGCTGTTCATTTCTGCACAGAAGAGATGACTGACATGAGATGCTGCTTCACCTTCTGGTTTCATGAGGCTTATTCACCAAAAAGGGTAGTGAGCAAAGGTTATCGTGCCTTGTTCTTCTCAGAAGCATCTACTGTACAACTGAAGCAATCTGCCTGCGCTACTCAGAGCTCACTGCGGAGCATCACCCAAACCGCTGAGCTGGGCTTATCTGAGCCTCTGGTCAATACCTACCAGTAAGGCGAAGCTGTGTTCTGGCAGCATCCCATACTTTTGAATGAGCTTCTCCCGGGTCTTACCGGGCAGCTCAGGGAGCCGGTCCCGAATCCAGTCAATGTTGATCACTTGCTGTGGGTCTGCACCGGGAGGCAGAGACGCGGTGTCATAGAGCAGGAGGGGAGGCAGGTTGGGCTCGGGCATAAACCTAGGCAGGGAGAGGAAATGGGGTCTGACTTGGAAGTATTTGGCTTAATAGGAAAGAAAACCCCTATTACCGATACGCAAGTTTTGTGTTTAGATGTCATGTTACAACTCCAAATATTTTCTGGGGCGCCTGGGTGGCTCAGTCAGTTAAGCATCTGACTTTGGCTCAGGTCATGATCTCACAGTCCTGGGACTGAGCCCCATGTTGGGCTCCCTGCTCAGCAGGGAGTCTGCTTGTCCCTCTCCCTCTGCGCCTCCCCCCTGCTCATGCTTGTTCGCTCTGTCAAATAAGTAAATAAAATAAAAATCCAGATATTTTCTAATGTCCCCAAAGACCTGCCCCTCTCCATGCTTATAAACCATGATGAATGAAAAAGGCACAACACAGGGTTGGTACTACACTGCGATTTATAATTGTGGATAAAGCATATCTTCACAAAGACAGAAGCCGGGCGAAAACAGGACCAAATGAGAACCATTTACTTATTAGGGAGAAAAATGACTTTTCCCCACTTAAAAATTCTCATTATTTTTAGCAGTATTTGTGAAATAAATGAAAAGTCAAAGAGAAAGAAAACTTTCTTTCTTGAGAAGTGGAAGAAATAAATAGATTTTGCCTAAAAAAATGTAGAGGCAGGGAAGGAAGGACGAGTAAGTGGACCACAGGGGATTTTTAGGACAGTGATGCTATTCCCCGTGACACTATAACGGTAGGTGTCACGTCACTATTTGGTCAAAATCCACAGAATGTACAACATAAAGACTGAACCCTAATGTAAACTATGGACTTTAGTTAATAATCAAGTCTTAATTTGTAACAAATGTACCACACTCTTTGTGGCATGTTTGTGGTACATGCGTTTAGTCAGAGTTTTCAACGTTTCCTGGGTAATAAATGCGAATCACACAGCAGTGCAGGATCTTATTACGGGAGCCGTGGTGGTGAGGCAGGGTACATGGTATATACCAAGGAGTATGTGGGAACTCTCTGCAGCACCACCACATATCACATCTTTCCCTCTACTCCATTCCAGCATCTAACATTTTCTGTCCACTTCTACTTGTCAAAGGGCTTATGCAGAAGCAGGATAACACACAACAAATGGGGTGCCAAGGTGACAGATCAGACGTGCATGCAGCCCATTACCTCCATGCCAAATCTGTGCTGTGAATCAGTCTGACTTGTGAGGGCAGGAGGACACCAAAGGGAGGGTTCCTGAATCCTGCCTATTAACCTGAGGGCTTGAGCCAAAGCCACTGGCTGACCTAACAGCCAAACTCCAGGCTGAGTAAGAAAGAAGCATGAACAGAGAAGGGGGTGACACTGGAGAACAAAGAAGTTCTTGGGAAGACTAGATTGAACCCAGAAGCTCACAGTGATGAAAACAATCTTGACTTTAACACACGAGAGGGGCCCTTCAGAGGAGGTTCCCACTAAGGGTTTATGAGCTTCTTTCCCACATCACAATGCTACATTGGTTCCTCATTGACAGCAAGAGTTGAGCTTTGCAAAGGAACAACTTTGTTGCTTACAACTTCCACCTTTACAATCTGCAAAACTCAATGGGGAGAAAGACAAAAGGTTCAATTTACCTTAAGCCTATTCTTATTATTTGCTTTATTTCTGGATCTCATATTAAGTCCAACTTGTTTAATTTTAATCAATTAAATAACATCACTCAAGTTGTGAAGGGAAATGCCATTAACATATGCATTTCTTTTTTCCTTTCTTCTCAAGGATCTTCAGTGTGTTACTGAATTTGTAACTGAATATAAGAATAAGAACATCCTAGGCCCCATCCTCAACTGCCACCCTCTTAGCTCAATTATAAGAACTCTCACACAGGGGTGAGTCAACAGTGGCTTCCAACAGTTGAATCCCATCAAATAAGACACTCTGAGGCTACCAAACCAAGAAAACATTCTTTCTTTCAGTATATATATATAAAATAGGAAGCCTAGGCTTTTCATCATGCAACAATAGAAACAGAAAGTGGTTCCTAAAAGCTATCCAGGTCCTTATGTTACTCTGCAAGTGGATTTGAAATTTGCCCCTAACCCCAAACACATGATGGTATTTTGACAAGAGGAATAATCACCTGTAGTCTTGTTTTCCTTCTTTGTCTCTCATCGGCATGGTGCACCTACGACAGTTAAATAGGAAAACGTTAAACCAACATGGCATGCAGCATTGCCCAGCCTATGTGCAAAGGGGAGTTTCCCCTACCAATAAGGGACACAGGCACATTCAGGCTCTTTGACCTTCTTTGAGAGACACTTACATAACTACATGAAAAAATATTAATGAAAGAGAAATACTTAGAATAATTTTTTAAAAAAAGAGAAGAAATTGCTTCAATGTTTCCAGCTTCTAACCAGCTCAAACTCTAGTCTTCCAAGCTTCTTTCAGTCTTCTGCTAAAAGCACAAAATCCTCAAAATTCAGAGTCTGAATATTAGAGTCAAAGTTGTCAAAACAAACAAAAAAGGGTACCTCTATAACCGCCCCCCAAGCTTTCTTTACCTCTAGTTTGAATTGGTAGAGCTTAAGTCTGATAGAATTTAAGGAAGTGAAAATTCTTGCCACAAAGTGGGTAAGCTGGAAGCAACTGAAGGGCCAGACTCAGCACTTACCACCAAGTCTGGTTCAGTTTCAACCTCTTACCAGTCCTCCAGGATATTCTATCCCTGTAGCGTACAGTATTTTCCTAACTCTACTAGTGAGGAAAGCATTAGTGCAGACAAGCTAAGTACCTTCTACAAGGTCACACGGCTGGTCTGTGGTGAGCCCAGAACCGCAGACTCACCCAGCTGTGTGCAAGATGCTGGTCAACGCAAACTCACCCCAGCTTGTAGTCAAACGAGCGTGTTTCATTCAGAATTTTACGTCCATTCTCAAGTTCGTGGATTTGTCTCTTAATTTCAGAGTCTAAGAGAAACATAGTAATTTACTATCATATTTTGATTCCTTTCATCCAATCCAGCAATAATTAGAAATCTTCCTCAATATTTAAGTCAAAAATAATCAAGAGAGTTGTTTATAATAATTCTTCCTTCATATGTTATTCTCTTCTCGTTGCCCTCATAGGACAACGATGCCGGGAAGGGCCTTTTAGGAAGCTCTGCTCCCTCGCTTTCAGAGAAAGCTCAGGTTCACAGTGACCCGGTCCAGTTTACAGCTCTTGGCAGAAGAAGGGCTAGGACTAGCATCTAGGCCAACTAACTCCAGATCCAGGATGGATGCCTATCACAAGTTCTTATCCAGGGATCCAAGGACAAACTTCACGGGGTTCTGGTACCTCCTGAAATTATATACAGAATGTGGTTGTGCGCATTTGTAGATTTTTTGGAGAGAGGGTCCAGAATTTTCATAGGGATCTATGACCCCAAATGATTAAGAGCCTCTGCATTATGCCACGCTCCCTCACCACCAAACAAGGCAGACTGTGGTAAGCAAAACAGCCAACATTGTTAAGCTTCTTTCTGAAAGCAGCTTTAGCCTCCCCCTTAACTCCCCACCCTAGTATGTACTACCTTCCCTCATCCAAATCCAAACTCTTTTATCTGAGCTGACAAGAAGCAGTAACACTAAAATGTGTCAGTTTTTGCTTCCTGTCTCCCCAACTCCAGTGCTCTCTCTGACTGAAATCAGATGAGGCATGATGGAGGGAGAAAAATGGGATGGAAAAATCACGGGCTTGGAGAATTAAGCCCATCATAGTAAATCTGTGGTTCTTCGGGTCTGAGTCAGGACACAGGCAGAATTCTGTCTCGGGGGTCTCCTTCATAAATCATTAAGAATAAATCTACTTAAAATCTTGCTGCTTGTTTTTTTAGGTTACCATCACCACCTCTTGGAATAATGAATTCCTGAACACTTACTGCCCACAGGGTGAAGTTGAACTTTCTTCCATTTGTTCTAAGTTTCCCCTTCACAAAACTGGGCTGTGAGCGTATCCCTGACCCAAACCTTTCATGGCTTCAGAGACATGAACTGTATCTCCTTTTAGAGACAAAAGAATCCGCCCTCTTTGGTCCATCTACACATCGAAACCTTCCCTTACCCTTTCCCTTACATAAGTTATCCCCTTGACCATTTTAATGCCCTTTTCCTGAAAATCTGTAGACTCAGAGCATCTTCATTGAGGCTGATCATTGCAGGTTCACGATAAGGTTTATACAAGACTAGAGAATCTTTTCTGTATTGTTTCTAGTACTTTTCTCAACAAGACCCAGGACTCTACTGAACACACACCAAAGCATTCAGCTGTCTTGTGCTCTGTGCATCCTTGAAGGGATGCACTTGAAACTCTATCCTTTCCCTACATTCTCTCTTCCTCTCTAGATACTTTTGATTTTAAAGAATATATTTAGTCTTCTGAGATGTCTTCACAGTCAGCAACCTCTATGGGACTGCCTGGGTGTTTATCTTGCTCAACTGTTCTACTTTAATTATTATGTATCTGTCAACACATAAATACCCACAGCATGTACTCCAATAAGACCCAAACTCAATTACATAGGCCCATGGACTCTATTAGTAAAAATAGTAAAAAGCAGAAAAACATAATGACCAATTGAGTCAAACTATGGCCAATCTACAATGAATAAACATGACTTTATAAAGTTCATGCCGGTCAGAAAGAATGTGGTAAATGGAAAAACAGAACTATAGCATATTGCAGATCCTCCCATAAAGAGGTGGAGTCTATTTCTCCTCCCCTTGCAACTGCTTTGAATCGAATATGTTGGGAGAGACACTGTATGAGTTCTAGAGCTTGGGACTCAAGAAGCCTTGAGGTCTCTGCCTTCATCCCCCTGGAAGGGCCCGTTGCCAAACAAGAAGGCCCAGGCTAGGCAAGCAAATGAGGAAAGATGACGTGGAAAGAGAAGCCTAGCAGACCCCTGGCACCAAGGCCTCAATGTGTGAGTGAGGTCATCTTGCGCATGAATGAGCTGAGGCAGGATCTAATCCTTAGAACTGCAAAAGCTGAAATGGTTATCATATAAGCCACTAAAGTTTGGGGTGGCTCGTTACAAAGCAATAGGTAATTGATACAAAGAAGAACATTAAATGTAAGCTGACATTCACCTATTGCTTTGGCCAAGAACCTGGTACTGTTGAGATTCTTCACCTCAGTTCGAACACCCAGAGGCTCTCCAGGATGGTGCACAGATACATTGGCATCCACTCTCAACTGGCCCTCTGGAAGGAGAGAAAAAAGACAATTCTTTAGAAATTCTTTGAGGCAACATAGTCTTTTTTTTTTTTTTTAAGATTTTTTATTTATTTATTTGACAGAGAGAGAGCCACAGCAAGAGAGGGAACATAAGCAGGGCGAGTGGGAGAGGGAAAAGCAGGCTTCTCACCGAGCAGGGAGCCCTACCAGAGGCTCAATCCCAGGACCCTGGGATCATGACCCGAGCCGAAGGCAGACACCTAACAACTGAGCCACCCAGGCGCCCCGCAACATAGTCTTTTTAAGTCTCTAGGCAAGCAATATCGAATTCCATTTGCTGTTTAGCCAGTTACAGCAACCTAACCTTTGAGGAGGTATGGTTGGTCCTGAAGCACATGGCTGGTACTCTGTCCACTTATGAGAATTACAGTCCTAAGGCATCTGAGGTGTGAATATATGTGTGTGTACATATTTGTGTGCACTTGTGCACATGAGGGAGAGAGGAGAAATTCTGTATATACCAGCTGGGGAAATCTAATTTCTTTTGTGCCAAATAAGAAAAACAACACTGTTAAAATGGAGAATTACTTTGCAGTCTTATCCTGAGTTTTTATTCAGTGTCAGAGCTGGGTTGGGGGGAAGGCAGCAGAAATGATGATCTGAGAAATGATGACCTGGGTGGCTCAGTCGGTTAAGCGTCTGCCTTCGGCTCAGGTCATGATCTCGGGGTCCTGGAATCGAGTCCCACATCGGGCTCCTTGCTGAGTGGGGAGCCTGCTTCTCCCTCTGCCTGCCGCTCCCCCTGCTTGTGCTCTAACAAATAAATAAAATCTTTTTAAAAAAATTAGAAAGAAAAAGAAAAAGAAATGATCATCTGATAACCCTACACAGCTTTCAAATGGAATGTGGATTTCCAACTGAGATTCTAGGAGATCCATGAGAGTCCTTGAGAATTTATAACTCAAGGGCAAGAGCCAGAAACCGGGTTTGTCCCCTCCTCCTTCCTCTGGGTACTATAATAATCTCTTCTTTCCACAAACAGGACTCTGAATCCTTCCTGATTGCTGTAAGGATTTGCCACAGCAGACAGTGCTGTTATGAAGGGGTGAATCGGTGCAAGAACACAGAGGGGGCCGCCCCCATCCTGGGAGGACATTCTCTGACCCAGAAACCCCCTTCAGATTAGGAACAGTAACCCCTAAGGGGGCAGGTGGTTTGTGGAGAGGACTAAGAGGCTCTGCAGAGAGATGCAAAATCCTTAAAACAATCACATTTTACACCCTACAAAGTAAAGCTCAAGTTCTCTGTTCTCTAATTTCATTTACAATGTCTAAAACAGAGCAGAATGACAAGACAAAATCCTGGACTTTTGTTTTCCTAGGCGGGTCTTTACATTTAAAAAGAACCTGCGAAATCTGAAGATTCTGATGGGCTGAATAAAAATTCATTTTCCAAGATTCCATAGCAAAAGCCTCTTAAAATAATGAAATAGGGTAAATAAATTCCATGCCAAGAAACTCCATGGTCCTGGTCTCTGCTGCTCCCCATCCAAATGCTGAGCTGTGGGGCTCGGCCTCCTCCAAGCTTGAGAACCGCCGGCCGCCCACTGCCCTACTGTCTCCACTTGCTCCCTCAGAACAAAGGATGAGCTCCCCCACTCTGTGGCCCCGACTGGCGCCCATGCTGGCCGTCAGGGCAAAGGTGCCTGCAGCTCAGAAAGTACTCTATGTCTCTAGCACGGACGTCGCAACAGTTTGGACAATTTGTGCTTCCTTGAATCCAGGAAGTCCCAACTATTCCTGACATCGTTAGATTCTTAGTCCAGGAAACTTGAAGTCATTTTCCCTGTCTGTTTTCTTTTCCCTCTACATCCAAACTGACAACTCGACCCTGTCGGTTCTCTTCCAGTACCCCTCATATCTGTCCCTTCCTCTCTACGTCCACAGCCACCACCCTCACTGGAGGACTTGGAACTGCAGACAAGGTTACAGAACTGCGTCCTGACTTTTAGTACAGCAATCCCCCTTGTCCAGCTAGCCAGCACGTGGCTGTGGCCTCCATCCTGCTCCAAGGTAGCAGGTACAATGATTCCCTTGTTCTCTTTGCTTGCTCAAGTGCAGGGCCACTCCTACCGGGCCATCTCGTCTCCTCTGCCCGGTACTGAGGAGCCCTCGTCCACTCTTGGCTGACATGACCCACAATTTCCCCCTACTCATTCCGTGAGAAAGCTTTCCTCCAATTGGGGGAGCTTTCTGCATACAAGTCCTTGCCCAGTCTGCTGGCTCCTGCATGTCCTTGTCATCAGTATTACGGTCCCTTCTGTGGCCTTTGCTCATCCTTCGGGGTCCCACTTTAGTGTCACCACCTTCCCCGCCTAGAAGCTCTTAATCAATCTCCACTGGTGGCTCCTCTGAACTATGAGGATGGACACAGTCAATACCACAGAATTTAGCACACGACTACAGTCTATTTTGAATGAATCTTATCTTTAAGACCAGAATGGAAGGCTTTGGAGGGCTGCACCCAGATTTCAAACCCTCACCCACCTTCCCGGCCAAGAGCATCATTCTTTCAGCTACCTCCTCTCTCCCACATCTGTCATTACCCTCGCTTTCTCCGCAGCACTTCCGGTAGGGGCATATACAAAAGCATCTCTCATGAAAAACAAAAATCAAACCAAAACCCCAAACCCTAGTCCCTTGAACCCCATTCTCCCTCCATCAGTTACTAAGCTACTTTCCAGCAAATCCTCTCAAACACGTCCTGTTTGCTTGCAGCACAGCTTGTCTCTACTCTCTCACCTCCTGCTTCAGCTGGGCTTCCATCCCCGCCTCTCTGAAAATGCCTCCTCAAAGTCACCAGCGACCTCCCGGCTGCCAAATGCAATGGACACAGGACTTGTTCTGTCTTCACCTTCCTGGACACCCCTAGCAGTGTGCAACATACCAACTAATCCTTCCTTCTTCAACTATCTTCCCCTCCCAGGTGCTGTGACCTTCTGTGTTCTTGGTCTCCCTCCTACCTCCCTGGACACCCTACTTCCATTTCGTTTGCTGGTGTTTGCTTTCCCATCCATTTCAGGACCCTCTTCTTGTGCTCTCTCTGTAGGGGTATGTGGCTTTAAATACCAGCAATGTGCTGATAACGCCTCAATTTCTCTCTTCTGCCCAGACTTCTACTCTGAGCTCCACACTTACCCCCAATGTCTACTTGACACCTCCACTTGGAGGTCTCACAGCCATTTCACTTTCCAGAACTACATCCCAATTTCCCCACCACAAAGCCATTCTTGTCTTCATCTTCCCAGTTTCAGTCCACAGCACCACCCAGCTCCTCATGCTTCTTTGAAGACATCCTTGATTTCTTCCTGCCCCTTGAGTTCCACACCAGCCTGTTAGCAAATCCTGTTATTTCTAAAATCCACCTTGAATCTACTCGGCTTGATCTCTCCATCTTTACTGACACCGCCCTGTCCACAACAGCATCATCTTTCACCTGGACCACTGCAAAAGCTTCTTAGCTGATCTCTTTGCTTCTACTCTTACTCATCTGAAATCCACTTTCCACGGAGCAGCCCCAGAGTGGTTTTCTAAAACATTAATCAGACTGTGTCATTCCCTTGCTTGAAAGCCCTTCAGTGACTTCCCTCTGCACTTGGGATAAAATTCAAACTTCTTATCGTTATTGGTAATCTATCCTTTGCCTACATTTTTCAGTCTTACTTGATGCCATAACCCCCTGCCTGTTATGCTTTCCCTCCAGTGGCCTTCTGTTACCTATGTTACCTCAGAGTATATTCTAACCTTTTCCTCATCTCAGAGACTTCGCCTTAGCTGTTCCCTGGAATGCTCACCCCTACTTCTATGCTGGCTGGAGCCTGGAGTCATTCTTCAGGTCTCAAATAAACGTCACCTCCTCTGACAGGCCCTCACTCTCCAACATTATTCTTTATCACAGCATCCTATTTATTTCCTTAGAGCATGTACCACTATAATGATTTTATTTATTAATGTATTTGTCTCCCTCATGGATATAAGCTCTAAGTAGCAGGAACAATAATGTCTTTTTCACTGCTATATTCAGAATCTAGAGCTGGGTTTGGCACAGAGTAACTGTCCAATAAATTAATACCTTGTTGAACAAGCCAAAACTCTGGTATTTTCCTGAGCAATGAGTAAGCAGATTGGTTACTGTCTCACAAAAGGTTCCTGATAAGTTTTAAAGTTCTGTCTGAATAGGATTAATCTACAGCTGGAATCATGTGAAAGGCCCATTTAGCTCGAAGGAAAACTTCCAAAGTATGCTGAGCTCTGCTCAACCAAATCTCAATCCTTGGAAAACAATTTTTTTTTTTGAACTCAGGGAACCCTGAATTGGACCTCACCTGCTTTTAAAAATGAAACTATCTTTCACGATTTAGAATTTCAACTTGGATAAGGAATAAAAGCATGAATTTTAGTCTCTCCCAGAGAAGGCCATACATACTACATAAATGTCTGAGAGGAATCATTTAGTATCCTGCAGTGTTGAAAGAGAGTCCACTAGCCTGGATTCAAATACAGTATCAAACATTAACAAAAGACATTCTATCCAGTGAAGACAAAATACCTTTTAAACAAATTAAGTTAAATTGCCTCAAGTGCACAAAAGCCTTATGAGTCAGGTTTACTTCAATGCATTCTGCAACACTGAGGGAGGGCCTTCATTCACACATCACCAGAATGTTATCAAGCTCAATTTCTCCCCTCCAGAAGCAGAGACTTGTAATAGCAAAACTAAAAAACGATACCACTGAGCACAGTGATATGGTGCAGTTACATATTTTTTTTTCTAAAACACATTCACACATCAGAAATATAACATCAGGACAGAAAACTGTTTCTGTAAACAGCAGGGGCCTGAGGATTTAGAGAGGTCTGTTAAGCTATCTCATTCTGATCACTGGATGCTCTCCAGGACTGAAATAACAAGTTCTGGCGCGCACACACAAACACACACACACACACATTTTATTGAACGTATTTCACAAAGCTTATTTATCCAAAATGAGTAGAGGTTCTGTAAAAGTAATACTATTTATTATTGCTAATAAAAGCACCAAACATTTACTGAGTACAGGCTACTGGTCAGGGCCTGTGATAAGTTTTATATACTTTATCACATTCATTCCCTACAACATAGCTTTAGACAAAGCCACTTTTAGACATCCTTTAGGCATTTCAAACTTAACATCTCCAAAATGGAATTCCAGATTTTCTCGCACAAAGCCATTCCTCTCCCAGTCTTCCCTGTCTCAGAGCCCAGTGACACCACACCCAGATGTCCCAACTCTATCTGACAACTTGGATGATTTCCTTTCCTCTTCTTTTTCTTCCTTTCCCCTTCCATATATGGTTATTTGGGGACTCAGTATATAAATGTGGGAAGTGAAGCTCAGAGAAATCAAAATCCCTTGCCCAGGTTCTTAGAGCTAGAAGAGGTGGGACAGGGTCCCAACCCAGTTCTGTGACCTCAGTGTCCGCAGCACCCACACTCTGTCATCCTTCTACCCGAAACTGTCATCTATGGAGGCTGTGACACTGTCGGGGCTGCCACTGGAAACAGTGCGACGCAGGGCTTACAGAAAGGGCTCCTGGACTCAGACACACCTGGGCTCAAATCCTAGCTCAGTCACTTCTTGTAAGCCTTGGAGAAACAAGCCAATCTCTCTAAATCTCAGCTTCTTCACCTGTACAACAGGCATAATACCACCTATCTCCCAGGAATGCTGTAAAGTTTAAACGAGAGGATAAATAATTTTTAAAAATGCCTAGTGAGGGGCGCCTGGGTGGCTCAGTTGGTTAAGCATCTGTCTTCAGCTCAGGTCATGATCCCAGGGTCCTGGGATCGAGCCCAGTGTCGGGCTCCCTGCTCTACAGGGAATCTGCTCGTCTCCCTCTCCTTCTGCCCCTCCCCTACCTCTCTCTCTCAAATAAATAAATTAAAAAAAAAAAATGCTTAGTGAACTGATGAGCACATGCTAAGTGTTCCAAGTGGCAGACATCATCACTGAAACATTTAGAATGTCTACTTCAGTACACATTCAACTCAACAGACGGCTCTGAGGATCTCAACAGTGGCGTATGTCCACTGACCAGGAAGAGACTTCTGGAGGCCAGGCTGAACTGATCCATGCTCATTAGCAAAACTATCAGGAACTCACTCAATCACAGGCCAGAGCAATTTAAACTTTATTCCAAAAGGACCCTGGGGCGGGGGGCGGGGGGGGGCGTCCACTGGTCCTAGGACGGTCCTCAGTTCTCAGGCTACAGTCTCCGATGCTGCAGGGTGGTCCTGTGGTGGTGGGGCAGAAGCACGAGGCAAGCGGTTGGGGCTGCTAAAATGCTAAGAGCACAAAAAGCTGGACCCCTGCAGCCTCCAGGCAGACCTTCCCTCCCCACAGTACTTTAGCAACACCCCAGCCACTCTGCTGCTGTGCTAGGGGTGAAGCTGTTGGGAGTGGTATTTAAAAGCAACAAAAAAGTGTCACAACAAATGAGATTTAATGAACCCTTTCAGCAGTCACTGGCTGATGAGTTCTTGCCGTTACGGTTTATCTCTTGGCAAGGCCCCAGATGGGACGATTTCTCAGCTAACAGGTGGCCTGTTTATTATTCCATAGGTTTGCTAGGAGTCACAGGTATTTGGAGAGAGAATGGAAGAATAAAAACTTTCTCTAAAGCAGTAGGGAACTGGGGCGCCTGGGTGGCTCAGTTGGTTAAGCGACTGCCTTCAGCTCAGGTCATGATCCCAGGGTCCTGGGATCGAGTTCCGCATTGGGCTCCCTGCTCAGCGAGGAGCCTGCTTCTCCCTCTGACCCTCCCCCCTCTCATGTACTCTCTCTCTCTCTCACTCATTTTCGCTCTCTCAAATAAATAAATCTTTAAAAAAAAATAAAGCAATAGGGAACCAACACTTAGTGCATAAATGGGTAACCATCCAGCCTGCCCATATTTGACTTATGTTCTTGGGTAAAAAAGCACCACGAGCCATAAATCTGACAGGAGGAGTTCTCTTACTCCACAACACAGCTGCACTTCTATAGAGCAAACTTGGAGGCAGCCAACTTCTATGCCACTCATGCTGTGCGGCTGTGTTCTTCCAGTCTTTAGCTTAAAGAAGATAGCAAATAGGCAAGTTCTGTCTCCAAGTTCAACTTGTACCACGGCTTTGACGTTACAATTTGTGGCTTGTAACATGTCCTATGTGACAGATGTGGCATTACAATTTCAGAAGTCCTTTTGTAACACACAAGTATATTGTGTGACATAAAAAGGTTGGTAAACAGGCTTATAAACCAACAGGGAGATGAATCATCATCCTCAATGGTATTTACTGGCATCCACTGTGACCACTTTGCGATGGTTAATTTTATGGGTCAACTTGACAGGGTCATAAGGTGCCCAGATATTTGGTTAAACAGTACTCTGGGTGTGTCTGTAGGGGTATTTCTGGATGAAATGAACATTTGAATAGGCAGACTGAGGAAAGCAGACTGCCTCTGTCATTGTGGGCGGGGCTCATTCAGTCTGCTGAAGTCCTGAACAGAACAAAAGCAAGACTGGGGTAGGGGGGGATTTGTTCTCTCTGCCTGCCTGTCGTTTAACTAGGACACTGGTCTTCTCCTGCCTTTGGATTCAGGCTCAGACTGGATTGCACCACTGGCTCTCCTGGTCCTCAGGCCTTCAGACTTGGGCTGGAACTATACTCTCGGCTCTCTTGGAGCTTGCCCTCCTGCAGCCTCCTCACTACAGATCATGGGATTCTCAGCCTCCACGATCACATCAGCCAATTCCTTGGAATAAATCTCTTTAAACATACATACATACATAAACATACGCACACATATACACACATTCTATTGGTTCTGTTTCTCTGGAGTATTCTAATACACCACTGTACTGAGCTATGAATTAACAATTGCCATATGCAGAATCTGTACCTTTTCTCCACTCCTGCCTTTCTCAACTCAAGGAATGCTCTGTGAGTGGCAAGAGTTTTTTTTTAAAAGCCCCTCGTGGGGCACCTGGGTGGCTTAGTCAGTTAAGCATCTGCCTTCGGCTCAGCTCATGATCCCGGGGCCTTGGGATTGAGTCCCGAATCGGGCTCCCTACTCGGTGGGGAATCTGCTTCTCCCTCTCCCTCTGCTGCTCCCCCTGCTTTGCTTTCTATCACTTTCCTGCTCTCTGTCAAATAAATAAACAAAAAAAATAAATAAAATCTTAAAAAAAAAAAAAAGCCCTTGGGAACAGAAAACATGGGGTAATCATGGGAGAGGCTAGCTTTCAGGCACTTTAGGGTGGGCAACGGAGTGCTAGGAAGGGGCCATAAGAGTGAGCCATTAAGACACTGAGTTTGACCAAAACTTGTATTCTTTATATCCAATTTGCAAACACTTAAAATGCATAGTTTGCTTGGTCTCAATGGCACAAGTGTTTCTTTTGTTTGATTTCCTACTACATTTCTAACGAACTGAAGATATTATCTCAAAGTTAAAGTTTTGTGAAATCATAACCTTGCCTTCAGCTGTAGCTGGATGAAAATTCTACAAAATAAGAAAGAGACCTGAAGAAAAACAGTCAAGTAGCAACTAAGTGCTACCTACACAGAAACTCAGAGCTATTAAATAAAGTGTCTTCTGAGAAAGATGAAACCGTTCAAGCACATTATTTTATTGATCCTCATTTTGGTACAAAACAACATTTGGATATAAGACGCCAGAAGAAAACATCTAGTCCTTTGACTGTTAAAAAGGAAAAAAAAAAAAAGAAAGAAAGAAAAGAAAGAAACAAACATACAACAGGCCCAAAGCAGAGTGACTTGCCCCCACTTCAGCAAACCAAACCTTCACTGCAATTTCAGCCTCTCCCAGGAGGGTGGCCTTTATCCAGTCGACCTGGAAGTTCCTGATCAACACTAGTGAGGTAATCTGCATGACAGACCCCCACCCTCCTCCCAAAGAAAGGTGACCTTGCCTGGAACAATCCACTCTCTGCTAGAAAACGTCCTCTATCACCCCTTTCTCTCTATAAAAGCCTACCATTTTGTCCGGCTCCTTAGAGCTCCTTTCTATTTGCTAGATGGGATGCTGCCTGATTCATGAATCTTTAAATAAAGCCAGTCTGATCTTCAAATTTACTCAGCTGAATTTTTTTTTTTTTTTTTTATTTATTGGACAGAGAGAGACACAGAGAGAGAGGGAACAGAAGCAGCGGGAGAAGGAGAGGGAGAAGCAGGCTTCCCGCTGAGCAGGGAGCCCGATGTGGGGCTCGATCCCAGGACCCTGGGGTCATGACCTGAGCCGAAGGCAGATGCTTAATGACTGAGCCACCCAGGAGCCCCTCAGCTGAATTTTTTTAACAACTCCTAATCTCATATTCCTGGGTTCAGTGCCTCTGCACTGTTGTTAGTGTGTTTAGTTTTGACTGGGGGTTCATTAAAGAATCTAAGGAAAACTCTTGAGGAAAAAAAACCCCACAGGCCTAAAGGCTGACAAAACCCCGTAAACAACCACAGTGTAGCTGATGCAGAGAACAAAAGTCCAGCGAGAAGAGATGTGGGAGGCGGAAAGAGAAGGTAAAGGATGAGGGACACAGCCTCTGCAGCTTCTACCTGCCATATTTGCCTGGCTGGTCCCCAGGGCTTGAAGTATCAGCTGCAGCTCCCTGACGGCTGACGCTGCCTCTTCTCCACAGGACATGTCGGGCTCCAGCACCACTTCCAGAAGGCCAACTCCTACCAAAGACAGGCAGAGTCAGCCTCACTGCAGCTCTCCAATCGGACTCACAGATAAATTCGGCTGAGGTCTCAGGAAGAATCTGCATCACTGATGGGGTCTCGACATGGGTTCTAGCCTTTGAATTATTTCTGCTCCCTCTCACATTTTGATTTTTAACTTTGGTTCTTTCAACGTCTGCCCGAGATCTCAAGCTGTTGGGTCTGTGACTAGGCGGCTACGTTCGTCACACTTTATGGGCGGGCTGTTAGCAAGCCCGATGGGGATCACGGACAGGCTGTGCTCGCTAGTCAGCTGGGCCAATACCAACGCGGATATTTGATCTGGCTCTGTCAAACTCTTGGGCCTGTTTCCTCAGATGGCTTGGGAGAACTCTAGAGGGGAAGAGAGGTGGCCGGAAAGAAAGGTAAGAGACAATCCCCAGGCCTACCTGCCCTGTTCAAATCGATGAGCGTCTGAGACCGCAGCTCATCATGGAGGCTTTTGCCACTGTCTTGCTCCAGCTGGATCTGCTTGATCCTCACGGTCCTGGTGCTCACCTGACTCGGCTTCTTCCCCACAGAGACACTGTACGCTAAGCTGCCATTCACAGCAATCGGGAGTCTTTGCTGGGTAATTTGGTAGCCTGCCTGCACACAACATGCATTGCGTTACACAGTCACTAGGCCATAAAGAGAAGCTGGAATCCAGTTTACGATTTCTTTTTCTGTCACAAAACTATAGGCTTACTTAAAAACACAACACAAGAGAAAAGGAAAAGGAGAAGAAAATTAGTTTATGCACTATAGCCATAATTTAGCCTGGCCTCTTCTGGCTTCTCCCACCCCCTCCCTTATCCTCCCTGCACCTCCCCCAGCCCCCAATAAGGATGCAATAAACACCACGAATCCCGTCTTCCCTACCAAAGTGCCATTTGGGGGAATAACAATAATCTCATTGTCAGAGGACTCTAAGAGAAGAATTTATTGTCTCCACTTAGCTCATTAGCCTAAACCCTGCATCTGATCACTGGGCTCTTGACAGACCCTCCGTATTAGGAAGTGCTGGCTAAGCATTCTGCCACCCATGCTCAGCACGGCAGACAGCAGTCACTAGCGCACGGAAGCTTGTTTTGTTCCTGCTCTTTAAGCTAGCCAGTCATGCCAGCTGCCCTCCCTGCCCCGACAACTTCCCGTTTCTCGCTAGAAAACGCTCCGACACTCGCACTCAGCTAACAGAAAACACCAAGTACTAAAGTACTGACGGATGCTGCAAGGGCTCCCCACCTCCTTCTGAGTAGAGGAGGAATGACTCTCGAGCGCCCACAGGCATCAACACCCAGTAAAGAGATGGGAGGGCAATACAGAGAACGGGAGGACAGAGAGGCAGTGCCTGTGGGCTCCCAGATACTGTGCTGAGTTCTTTACACCGTTGAATCCTCAAGACAACCCTATGAGGGAGATGCGGGGCACGGAAGGGTTAGTTACGGGCCACAGGGCTAGTAGGTATCCATGCCAGGATCTGAACTGAACATGGGCGGTCTGGCTCCAGAGTCTGTGCTCTTAGCCACCAGTCCAGCATTTTCTAAACTTCCCCTGCAGGAGAAATCGTCTGGTGGGCTGCACCTGAAGAGTTTCTGATTCTGCAGGTCTGGGGCAGTACCCGAGATTTAGATTTCTAACCAGATGCTGATCCGAGGGGTGTGGGGGACCACACTTTGAGAACCACCGCATTAGACAACTCATTCTCTGTGATGAAAGAGCAAGTCCTAATCTGTAAGAATTAAACTCTGAATCGGGTTGCTGAATGAAATTCAGGATGCTCAGTTATATCTAAATTTGAATACACTGTTTATTCAGATAAACAACAAATACTTTTTTAGTCTAAGTGTGTTCCATGTAAGATGTGGCAACACTAACTCTGGTTATCTGAGCCACCTGAGCCAGAGAGAGCAGAAAACCATTGAGAATGAAAACATCTCATTTTAGTCGCATAATGCTAAATATTCCACCTTCACCAAATGGATTATCACTCTTAAAGGATGGAAAAAAACGCAGCTTCATTCCCTTCATCCTACCAAGCAACAGAATTTGCTAGGGGCTGGCAGCCAGGGGGAAAAAGCGGCAGCAAGCAATTGGAGAAATAACGTTCCGGGTACATTTCTTATTTAATTCTACTTCCGTCCTCATCTACTAAAGACCAGCTCACCCTCATCTTCAGTTCAAGGAAAATAAAATGAAGCAGTATCACCATTATCATTTTTCTAGATCTGAAGAAAGGGTGTGCTTACTATCAGAGGCTCAGAGCAAATGAAGAAACTTTATAATTTTAAGGAAAAAAACAGGTTAATATTGGGTTTGCTGCCAATTTACAGCCAATTACTGTTGTTAGTCGAGGCTTCTGGTTCATGTTTCTGCTTCCTATTGTCCACTTACTTGCTCCTTGTGAGATGACAGAAATGTCCCTAGAGGGGACAGTCCTATTATTGGTAACTTCAACTTAAAAGAGGGAAGCTATCACTCTGTCTACAGAGCTGTCGTCTGCATTTACTGTCGCATCAGCCGCGGAGTTAGATTTGACCTCACAGGCAATTAGCACCGAACACCATGGCCGGCCTGAGCCTGAGAACACGGCCTTCTGCTCCCTCTTCAATTATGAGGGAGCCAGCAGAAGCATCAGGCTAAGCAAGGAGTCAGCAATCAGGACAACCGCATCCAATCTAGTAAACATCGGGGGGCACCTGCCTTCATCAGGGCCAGGCAGAACCTCCCGCTGACACGGACAGAGCTCTGACTGGAAACAAGAGAGGCACAGCTACCCCCACTCCCCAGCTCTGAGAATGTACAGAGGGCGGACCGCAAAGCATACTTACAGGGAGGTCCGCATAGAAGTAGTGCTTCCTGTCAAACAAGGACTTCTTGTTGATGCGGCAGTTCAGTGCCAGGCCTGTCATCACAGCTGCTTCTACGCATCTCCTGTTGAGAACCTATGGAAGCACGACACACAGCTCCTCTCAGATCCAGGCTGAACAAATGCTTCTCCCACATACTGACATCCTCCCTGAATATTCAATTTGGCCCTTCGACAGGCATTATCTCTGTGTGGGCAGCTCCGGTTCACAAGCAGACTCTTGTCTGTCTGGAAGCGGGAAAACTTTATATAAAAAAAGAAAACGCATGTGGTGGTGGGTCCTGCAGGGTATTTAATGAACTGCCACAGGGGCGATCCATTCCTCCAGTACCTGGCATGAAAGTTAACGGGGAGGGACCCAGAAAAGCTCAGCAGAGTGGGGACTACGGGGAATCCACTTAATTTCATTCCCTGTGCAAGCAGAACAAGGAGCTGGTCAGAATACAGAAGAGGCATGGGTTCCTAAGAGGAAGGTCCAAGAAGCAGCTCACCAAGCCACCTCAGTGAGGGTGGAAAACGCTTCGGCAGAGAAAGAATGAAATCCTGGAAACTCTGGAAAAAAAAAAAGTTTCTGGAGAAACGGCCATGGCCATTTCCTCAAGGGCTGGGAAATGTGGCCTGCCCACCCTCCCCTCGCTTTCAGTCCAGGCCTGGTGAACTCGAGAGAGGTACAGACCGAGCGTGATCCATACCCTAACTCTTCCTGAGCCGCCGGTCCCTCCAGGGGCTCCCGGAGCCCACAGGTTCCTTCTGGATCCCATCCTCCCCCACTTTCAGGTGTGAATGACCAGGAAATGCTTAGCAAACTTCCCAACCCAAAAGGAGGTGAACAGCTTTTAAGAACTTTGGGGGTAGGGACGTGGGGGTATGGAATAAGGCCGACAACTGGAGATAAGGAGAAAGCATTAAGTTCTGGAGTCAGACAACTTCTCCTATGTGTATCTGTGTGAATGGAAGGCTCAGTATGCTCATCTCTGAAGTAAGGATTTAATATATCTACCTTGAGGAGCACATGAAGAAACAGCCAGAACATCTACTCCATAGTAAGAAATTAATAACTAGCTCATTTTCCCCACTCTGCTTCGGGGAAATTTGTGAGCATGTTGTCCTTGCTAATGAAACACACTTCTGTTCTTTATTAGCATATTTATGATGTTCTTTAGTATATTTGGTATACTCTTATTTATGTAGGGCTTTCCACAGCCACCATTTTATTTTAGCCTCACAGCAGCCCTGTAGGGAAGGAATTTGTATTATTTCAAAATTTCAGGAAAAGAAAAAACTAAGACCCAGAGATAACAAGAGACTCATCCAAATCACAGAGATGGCAAATTAGTAAAGTTAGCTCTAAAGTCCACACACGCCCTTGCCTAGCGAGTGACAAACAGAATCCCAGTGGCTTAGGGACCCGCCCTCCAGGCTGGAATAATGAGTGTGGCACCCCCAACACAAGCACAGCTTGCGGATCAAACACAGATTTCGAAAACAAATCTATACAACAAAATGTTAAGAGGCATCTCTACTTGCTGCAATATACAACCCCTCGAAGACACCCCAAACGGCAAATCTCCCTCCTGGTAACATCATCACATGCCTTCTCTTCAGAAATCCGGTTATAAGACGGCGTCTTCTCACAGCTTCTATTTGGACTTCTTAATTCTGGGCCAAGTAATATTGTCAGCTCTGCAGTAATGGTTCTCACGAAGAAATGTGTGTAGGGGGAGGGGGGAAGGGGATGCTCTAATTATTGATGTTTTCACTTGCTAACGTTTGGTGTTTTCCTGAGCAGTTGTTACCACAATACAAACATAGCTGGCAGAGAATGCTGCCAGCTCCCAGCACGATGAGTCGGGTCAAGACACACGAGAACGCGGAGTTGGCGTCCCAGCCCGGGGCCCTGCTCCTCCTGGGCTCTGCCACAGTGTGGGCTTGCTGTAAACTGCCCGTCTCGCTAATCTGTACCAGTTCTGGCTTTATCACTCCCACTCGTTTTCCAGCCACTGCTGGCTTTTTCGTCCCTGTCCGGTCTGCCCCTCCGGGGGCCCGGCCTGCTTCCTCCCTCTAGGCGTGAAGAGAACCCAGGTTTGTTTTGTTTGCTTATTTCCGCACATGCGTTGCTAACAAACTCCCTGCGCCTGGCCCTGCAAGGGAGTGAGGGGCAGCGAGCGATCGCGGACTCCCACTGTGCCTGCATGCACAGAAGGACACAGGCACTTGAGAAACCATCAATTTCCAAAGAATAAGAACGCATGAAAACACATAAACATTACAGCAATATTGAATATACTTTAATCTTTTTTTGATGATTTAGAAGACTGGAAGTACTTCAGGGTCAGAATTATAAGCATCAATCATCACCACACTATAGTTGCACAGAGGGGCTAGTAAATAGAGAGTGCCAGTTAAAAGAATGCCATGAAAAAAGAATTTATTATGATCTGAGTCAAGCTGCCTATGACAGATGGAGTTCCAGGTCAGCATATTTGGAGGACGGGATGCAGACTTGGAAAATTCAACTTGGGCTGTCTTTATTCTGAAAAACTTTTTAAGTGTCTATAAAGTAGATTTTAGGGATACAGAGGTAAACAGGACTCTGTCACTGGCCTCAATGAATGGGCAGTGGAGACATGAACCCGCCAGCATCTGCAACATCCTTCTCAAGTTCACCTTCTATACTAGGAAGATCTCGCTAAAAATGCAACTCTTACAGCATTCCGTTGCTTAAAATCATGACAAAGGCTAAGCTTTTTACAGGATCCAGTTCCCACCTCCTTCTTCAATTTCATCTCCCATCAACCACCCTCCCCCCCAACACATGGTCCATCTCTTATACAAACCATGCTGACCTGTGCACTCTCCCTCTTCTCATTCCATTCAAAATCTGATGTCACCAAATCTATGCAACTTTCCTTACTATTCTTCCTACATACCTCTCTGGCCTTCTACACACTTCCATTTGTGCTAGTACGACACTGGACTGAATTTATTTACATATATTTCCAATAGACTAATTTTCATGGGGATGGGAATTATCTGTTTATCCTTGCATATCCCTGGAGCATAAAACAGAACTGAAAAGTAGCGGTGCTCAATTAATGTGTGTTGAACTCAAATGAGGATGGAGGTGATGGATATAAAGGCAAGGTTTCAGACAGGCACTGAAGTCTCAATCTTCTCTAAGGTGTTACTTGCCACTTGCTGGCCTACAAACTTGTTTCTGGAAGTTTCCTGAAGCAAAAACCATTCATGTATGATGTGATCGAAGAGGTAACTTGAAAATTCAAAGACTTAATTTGTCCCAAAGCATGTTCCAGAATTTTCTTTGCAATTAACATAAAGGGACAAAGGATCTCAAGGTTAGCCACAAGAGCTTTCATGCAGAAGGAAAGCAATGATCCCTGGAACTCACATAGCACACCTTTCTCAATGGGAGTCTTAGAGGAGGCTTCGCTCTGCCTTCAGGAATGATCATCAGCAAGTATTTATTGCACAGGAGGCGTGCTACGCACAACACATACATTTGCCATTTAACCCTCTCAGCAATCCTAGGGCAGACACTATTATGATCCTCATCCCACAGATAATGAGGGGAATCCTAGAGATTAAGTAATTTGGCCAAGGTGACCCATAGGATAAATGGCAGAGCCAGGAAGTCAGACTGCTGGCACTCAGGCTCTCAATTACTACACTCTACCTTAAATCTTCAAAGAATAAAGCATGTTACTGATAGCTAGCAACACTGCTAATATCTGGCCATAACTCTGGAGCAGCAAGCAACTCAGACCAAATTCCACTGCAGATACTGTAAGGCAGATATTGTTTCTAACAACTTCTTCACAGTGTCTATAGGTTTGTTTTCAGATGTTGAGCTCCTAGGGAGCAAGCACTGTGTTCTTCTCAATCTGTAAAACAATACAGTCTCCGGCATGTGGGAGATTTGACACTGAGTGGACCTATAGGTTTTCTCCATTAGCAGGGGATGTCTTATTGACAGATTTCCGAAACCCTCAGACACAAGAACTACCCATGAAATGATTTCTAAAATAAGTGAAGAGGCTCTTCTATTTTAATTAGAAGATAAGAAAAGTAGAGGTAGAAGAAATGTGCATCAGACCTCCAAGGACACACTGTGCCCCAATTTGAGAAATACTCTTCTAGTTTTAAGACTTATTTAGCCTAACCAAGCAAGCATTTCCTAATCTCTGAGTATAATGGACCATCATTTAATGACAACTTCCAACATATGCCCTCCCCCCCACCGCCTCCAAAAAATCACCAGGCCGCACACATTCTACTTTCTTAGTATATCTTGACTCCCCCCCCCCCCATTCCTCTAAATCCTCTGGTTTAATTCAGGCCTCTATTCATACATCCTCACCTCCAGGTGAGACTTTTGCACTAACCACCTGGCCAGGTTTCTCTCTCTCCATTCCAGTCCTCTACAATCTTCACACCTGTTCAAGAGTGACCTCTCCAAAGGGTAAATCTGTCCATGCAATGCCCCTGCTAAAAAGCCTTCTTCACTACTTCTCATCACTGAAAGGACAAAGTCCAAGTGTTTGGTGGAGTTTTCTGTGTCCTTCATGATTTAGCCCCTGACTACCTTTCTAGCTTCCTCTTCTTCCACTGTCCCGGACCCCATAGACCCTCATGCAACCTTGCATTTGACACGCTTCTGTACAAACTGCTGCTTCTGCTGGTAATGCCCTTTTTTCTCATCCACTTGAGCAAGACCTTAGCCCCTAGCAAGGCTTGGATGTCCCACCACTACTGTGGTCCTCCTTCTCTTCCAGTAAAGCACCATCTCCCCAAGCAGATGGAACTCCCTGAGGGCAGTCAAGTCATTTTATCTTATTCCCCTGTGCCCCACTACCTAAATGCAATACCAAGCTGATCACACATTAACGGAGGTAATGAATAATTTAATATTCCCTTTATCAACATCCAAAAGACTATAAGTTATGAAATAAAAGCAAAACTGTTCTATAAAATACATGTGTCTGGAAAAAGAAACCACTCTCAGTATGTAAAACAGAACAAATCTGATACAGAGACTTTATTACACAGATGACAGAG